TACATGTCTTTGGCTCTGCTCCTCTGTTTGATCAGAGGGAGGACGCCCTGAGGAAACGGTGCTGCATTCTGGGTTAAAGTGCATTCAGAAAGTGTAAAAGAAAAAACACCACCAGTCCCAAAGTGAGTCGTAAAGCAGGGATGCTGCGAGCGTGTGGAAACTAGGTAAAAGGTCAGTGGGAAGAAAGTCAGCGAATGGAGCAGCAGCCTTGCAATTGTGAATAACAGCTGTTTTTAATGAATCCCACATGACATCAACACATGAAGCTGTGCGCGAGCTGCGTACGAGCTGTGCGCGAGCATTACCTTTCACCCACTTTTCTTCTCTGCCAAAAGTTGACATGAAAAACAGGAGCCAGACTAACATGAATCAATAATATAATGAAAATAAACAAAAAGTGAAATCAGACTTGATTTTTATGATGGAGATTTATCTTCTTCAGAAACAAATCGACGTTTTAATAAAGAGAGGTGCAGGTGAATAGACTGTTCTTGTACGTCTCGGTTTAACGGCATTATCTACGTCTCCTCATCTGCCACTCTGTCCTATGGTGTACCTCAAGGTTCTGGTTTGGCGCCCGTACTGTTTGAACTGTATTTATTATCTTCTGCACCTTTCATATCAACGTTAAGTGGATGATATCTAATTGTAAATGTCTTTTCTAAATATATCTATCCTTAAGAACTGGATGGCTGCTAGTTATCTTTTACTTAACACTGGGAAACTGACTGGTCCAACTCATTGTTGAACTATTGTAATTCACTGTATCTGGGCGTCAGGATTTCATTGTTGGATCGGTTACAAAATCCAGCTGCGAAGGTACCTACCAAGTCCTCCGAGTGGTCTCAGGTGACACCTAATTTGTCGTCTTTGCGCTGGCTCCCCATAAAGTTCAGACTTCACTTTAAGATCTTGGTGATCCCTGTTCAACTGTCTGCAGACTCCTATGAAAATGCAGGTAACTGATGCCTTCTTACAGAAACCTGTATACGTTTTGTATTATTTGTATAGGCTTGGCTTTAACTAGTGGATGTTGGCATCAGTTTAACTCCCTGCATATATATCAAATTTCAAGCTATTTCAGTAAAGTAAATTCATTGTGTAGGTCAGCATCAAGGTAAGGATAATAAATCTGGGGGGACTTCTGGTTACAGCCAAGTAAGAAAGAGCTCTTAACACATTTGACATGAAAATGGAAGAAACAGACCATATCCCAGGAGTGGAGGAGAATACCTTGAAATCTCTGAGCTTCATGGAATGATGGCAGCCATAGCACAATATGATAAAGAAAATAAAGGACTGGGTTTACCAAGCTGCAAATGGACAGCGCTTATTTAGGCTTCTTGTCTCATCTTTATGCCACTTACCTGACACCTGACCAGGGATTAAGACCCTTTTAAAGACCCTGGCCACCACCATCAGATTATTTTAGAGTCTGAAAGCCTCCTTTCAGAGTTCTATGAATAACACTTTGCTGAGGTTGGTTGTTCGAGAATTTCCTTGTTTGAGTTTCCTGATAATTACTAAACAAGATAATGGTTACATGCTGATCCAGCTGCTGTGCCTCTGCCTGCTTTTAGAGGCTTGGGTTCAGAGTCCCGGCTCTTCCTCTGGGTCTCCCGCTGTGCATGTCTGGGCTTAAACAGAGCTCAGGGGGAATAGTATGGGAATAGTTCATGCCCGCTAGAGGCTGATGCAACATACCAGACATGTAGCAACATCCTGACCTTTCACACACTAACCCACTGGTGCCTGAGGACACCGTCTTCCTGCGATCCCCCGCTCTGGAAACTCATGCACTGTACATGTGCAGATCTGACGGGACATGCTGTGTGGCTGTAATCTGCACAGTTACCGTGCCCTCGTGGGTAATAAACAAAGGAAGGAGGTTTCAGGGCTTATTTTAGACAACAGAAGCTGTTTTGACTTCCTACAAGTTTGAGATTTTAAAACGACAGATGAACAGAGCCTGATGTTTGTGTTTTTTTGTAATCAGACAGACAGCGCTATCCAACCCTGTGATGATGGAGGTCCTTTCAAAGATAGACACAGTAAATTACACATCATGTAACACTTTTATCTTTACAGAGCATTGATTTTTATGGGGGTGTCGTCATATAAAAGCCTAAAAAGAAATACGCAGGGAGGCGATTACACTCTAGATTTGAACTCTGCCACAGTACCAAATTAAATACATGACGAAAGTGAAGTGTGCTATATTTAGTAATGATTGTAGCATTAAAATGTAAGATTTAAACCAAATATCTGTGCTAAACTTACAAGCTCATAAAACAAGATGCAATCATTTTTAATTAAATAGAAGTGAAATATAAAAAAATCAAAGGTTTATTTATTTAAATTATTATTCATTAAGGAAAAAATGTTTGGTATAAACTGAATATAAAGCAATCAAGAAAATTTAATTTCACCAGAGTCCATTAAATTTAACATTTTACATTCTACTTATGTAAATTTAAAAAGAATTACATCAAATTCGAGCATTTTTCACATAAATATGTTTTTGAGTCTAGATTGTGATTGTCCTTCAAAACAAATAACCTGGTAACTTTGACCCAAAGTAGTCTGTGATCAGCAGTGTGCTGTGTTTCATCTCATCATTTCTTGGTCACAATAATTTCTAGAACTCACACTTAAGCTCAGATCAAAAAAACCTACAAATGAAAAATAAATAACAAATCAAAGTCAAAAAGTTTAGTCAAGAATTTCATTTTATTTTGAAAAAACAAACTTGAGAAGTAGTGATACTATATGTGTAATTACAGTTTTTCTTATGAATGGTGATTTTTGAACATAAAAACAAAACTGTTTGACATGAAAGGAACACCACATGCGGCTTAAATCGAGGTGCAGCCTTTGAACTGCATTTCAAAGCGAGTCATCTCCCGTGTTGACATATTAAATGTAACAGCACTAAAAAGCACATTTACCTCCTGGTACAAAACACAGTTTTGGTCTCTGTGGTTATACCTATTATTTTATAACTCATCCACCTGGAAAACAAAGTCAGGGGCGTAACCATGATGATTGTCAGGTGTCTGCTACTGGAGCCTTCTGGAGCGTTTGAATGGATTATCTGACTGATATCAGGAGTCGCTGTGTGGTACAGAAGCTTGTTCTTGAGTTTGGGTGAGTGAGTAGCTTATTAGTCCGTTACTTGTAACTTCTGGCTTCAAGAAACTAACGTGGTGGTGGCCAAAATACAAATGTGCGAGGCTTCAAGTACTTTCATTTTTACAGATGATTGCCTGCTAACTAACAGAAGTCGGAAAGCTTGGCCTCTTTTGTATACAGTCTGTTTTAGTTCCCAAAACGCTGAGTGAGTCATTCCAAAGTGAAGCACAGACTGACTGGAAAAACTGGTTCCCAGTTTACGCAGGTCCTCCTCCTGTGTCTGCTGGCTGTGCTGACCCTCCTGCAGCTCCCTGCATCACGCAGGATCACATTTATCTCCTCACGGGACATGAGCTACATGCAAGCAGCACAGCCTCATGTTTAATGCGAACATAGTGTTCGGATAGAGCTGAGTAAGGACGGAGACCCGCCTGTGCATCCGACTGAGGACAATGGTCTGGTTCACGTAAGCTGAGTGCAGCGGGTTCGGAGGATACGTGCAGAACAGCAGCCTGCAGCGGGAGGGAGTCCTACGTGCACCGGGTGTCCAGCATCCAGGAAGTACCCTGCTCCCTGCAGAGGTTCATCATGTAAAAACTCAAATCCTGCTGGTACGAGAAGTGCACCTCTGCATAATGACACGTGTGGTTAAACAACAATTTTAAGGGTTTAAAAGAGGCTGAAGGAGAAACGCGTCTTTTTTATGATTGGACAAAATGTACAGTGGAAATGCAAGTTTGCTCTTCTGAGTCAGAGCGAGGGTTTCTTTCACTTTTACTTGCAAGTAATTTTTTTCAGTATTAATTTCCCACCATAACAACATATTGTTACTTAGTGACTCCAGTCAAACATTAACCACACTGACCTTTTAGTTAAACATGTAGTTGTTTGTTGTTGGCTGTCTCTCTTATCCCTCTACAATACTCGCTGTCATTACATTTTCCAGCCTTTCTCTTCCCCGCAGCATGAAACCTCCCAAGTTTACTCTAATCCAGTGATACCTTAACATACAGTGGGTGTAGAAACATTTGGACATGTGCATTTCATCATATTTCTCGGATGGCTGCTTAGCGCTTTGAGAGAAGTACAGTATCTGAGCCTAATGTGTGATTAAATGTGAAACAGGAGCCGTGACCCGCTGACACGTGCGTGTGTGTCTGAGCGCCTGGCAGGACATCAGCATCACGTTCCTCATGTCTGCGTGAGCGGGGTTTCTGTTGTCGGGAACGAGTGTGTAAAAGGGCCCGAAGGCTTGAACTTTCCCCTACTTCTCACAGTGACTCCTCAGCCTCTGTTGTTCACCAGCATTCCTGATTCAGCAACTGGCTGTCTTCACCCACTGAGGTCATTAAGCTCAGCTATCAGGGCTTTAGTCTTAAACGTGAAAAAATCCAAAAGGAGTCATTGGTTTTTGGGTGAAACTGTTTTAGGGACGGCTTAAAAGCCAATCAGATGTGAAAATAGGGACTTTAAAGGACTTTTAAGATTTAATAAAACAGCCATCAAAAGAAAAAGAAATAACTGCTTTTAATGGTACATGCATCTGTGGGTCATTTCAAGGGAACATTTTATAGCCCTGAGCTGTTGGAAATTATCTGCATTTATTCAGATGTTACAGAAATAATAAAACAAATAGTTGATTTGTAAATGAATCAGCAGTGAGAACAGCGGGGAGTCAAAGTGTTTTTGTAGCAAATGAAACCAACAGAGTGGGAATAAGAGGCAAAAATATGACATCATCAGCATAAGCCTCAAAACTAAAACTGTAAACATGTCATTTTTCTGCATCAGTGAGTGTATAACCAGAAATTCAGGCCCTTGTTGCATCATGTTGCTCACTGTGAGACTTTCCCCGCCCCCTCTTCCTCCTCCTCTCCTACCAGAGCTATAAAAAGCCTCAGTGCCTCTCAGTGAGCAGCACACACAACAGACAGAGACAGATTTCAGACGCAGCACTGACACCAGATCGGACCTACAAAGATGAAGATGCCTCAACTTCTCATCCTCCTCGTGACCATTTTGGTGCACGCAGCAGTTGGTTTCCCCACTGACAGGAGGGGCCGGGAGAAACAGGCCTCGTGGGACGATGTGAACGTGGTGGCCCACGGCCTCCTCCAGCTCGGCCTGGGGCTCAAGGAGCACGTGGACAAGGCCAAAGTCCAGATGAGCGACATCAACACCAAACTGAAGGCCTTCAACGGCACGGTGGCCGAGCTGGAGAGGAAACAGCGGGAGCAAGATGAAGCTCTGAAGGCCAGAAGTGAGGGACCGGAGGAGAGTCAGAGGCTGGCGGAGCTGGCTGAGGAGGTGAAGAAGCAGACAGCGGATTTAAACTCCAGGATGGACTGGCTGCAGGGAGCGCTTACAGAAAGGATGCTGGACAGCAACGACAGCGGTCACTCAGGAGTCCCAGTGATCCAGGTGAGAGGGGGGAAAGAGGGCTTTTGTAGCTGCTCTTTAACCAGGTAGACACATGAGAGCAGTGCACGCCCATTTTAATAGACCTGAATAGCCCCTTTAAACCTTTTAGCGGCAGCCACTAAGAGTTCTCTCTTTAAATAATAGTTCATTCCAAATTTAAGCACCTCCCATCGCAGACCGGTGGATGTTGTACGTTGCATAAAGCTGATGATGTTTCTCCCTGTTGTCTCCAGCTGCTGCTGGCTCAGGACAAACGCGTGGACCAGCTGGAGGAGAAACTCAAGCTGCAGCAAGACAAACTGGAGAAGCAGAGTCTGCAACTACAAGCACTGCAGAACAAGGTGAGCCGCACCACATCCACGAATCCACGCGTTCCCCAGCACCTGAGACGTTAAAGCAAAAAAACTTTAACGAGAAGTTTCTGTGTCCTGCAGATTTCGCATAAGAGAGTAAAGGCGCACAGGAGGAGACACGAAGAGATGGCACTGAGGGGCGAGGCTCAGCAGATCCACACAGAATCAGGTAAGATTTGTGCTATTGAAGTTTAAAGCCATGCGTGTGTGTGTGCTGCTTTCAGAAGAGTTTAGACCCTCAGAGCACTTTCAGACATCAAGTCTCTTTTTACAAAACTGGCAGCCTTGAGCGCAAACACGCATGAACTACATATGAATCATAACAAGTGACATAAGAAGTTCACCTTTGCGCCTGAGTTTATAGCGCTGACTTGTTGGCAGATCTGTGCGAGCACAGTCCAAAGATCAAGGAAAAGGAGGGCAGCAGCTTTAAAAACATGTTGACTGCACATACTTTTATTTCCAAGGCAGAGAAAGTTTCCCAAAGATTAATAACGAACGCCAAACTGTGAGCAGAAATGCAAAGTGCAGCCTCAAACTCATCACTCTTCTCTTCCTCTCAGGTTTGACCGGAGACGGTGATGATCTCCTCCTACGTGGGCAGCGAGCCAGCAGAGACAGGAGAAGCAGGAGGGAGCAGCTCAAGAAGCAGGCGGCATCCTTCTCCACGGCCACAGAGCGAGAGAGCAACTCTCTGAACGCCGGTCATCTAAAAATGACACCGCCATCCCCGAACCATTAAAGCAGAGCGCTAAAGAGAGAATGACTTTAACTTAAACGCTGAACTACTGAAGGACTGAAACCAGACTGAGTGTTTACACGCACATCATTGCTCTCTGCTGATTCACTGCAGGGTCAGACACATGGATGCTATGCCATGCTATAACTCATTGTCTCATTGGACATGTTCAGTCATATTGACGGGTGTAACTTTATTCCCTTTGTAAGGGATTTATCCATTTGTTTTGTTTTGTACTTAAATAATGTGAAGTTTCTTATTTTATTTGGATTTGTACAAAACTTTGAATATTTTATATGAAGTGGATGGAAATAAAACTTTTAAGTTTACCTTACCAGGACGTCCTGGCTCTTTGTTTGTGGTTGAAGAGGCTGAATGACATGACTCCAGGAAGACAGTCTAGACTTTGCTCTTTATTTTATATTTCAGTGTGATAAACAAATAGAATTATTCACTTATGAGGCATTCATTTCTGTCATTGTGTGTGTCTGTATGCAGTGAAACTTGGCTCCACAAATGAGCAGCTATTAAACTGCATTTAAACCCGACTATAAAAGTGAAGTTGAAGCCAAATTGAATTGAGGCCAAACGATTGGAGCTACACAAGTTTTGATGCCACCTAGAGGTGGGAGCAAAGATTTGGCCACTTTACGCATTGCTAGAAGCAGGTTGGACACTAGTTTTCCTTCAGAACGGCTCAAATTCAACAAGCTGCTGAAACCATTCCTCAGAGATTTGGTCCATGTTGTCCTGGCAGCATCACACAGTTACTGCTTGTTAGTTGCACATCCATGGTGTAAAATTTCTAGTTCAGCAACATCGCAACAGATGTGGGATTGGAATGAGATCTGGGGACTGTTGAGGTTATTTGAGTTCAGCATATTTAGTGTCATGATCAAGAAATAAGTTTGCGATGACCTCAGCTTTGTGTCACAGTGTGTTATCCTGCTGGAAGCAGTGTGGTCATAAAGGGACATGATCGGAAACAAGACTCAGGTAGGCTGTGGTGTTTAAACAGGGCCCAGTTGATACTAAGGAAGAATATTCCCCTCACCATTACAACAGCAGCAGCCTGAACAGCTGATACAAGTTGGGATGGATCCATGTTTTCATGCTGTTTAGTGCCAACTGTGACCACCACCCAAATGTCAGACCAGGCAACATTTCATCAATCCTTTGTTGTCCAGTTTGTGTGAGCTGGTGGGACCCAAAGCCCCAGTTTCCTGTAGCCCATCAGCTTCAGCACGTGTCAGACACGTGCATCCAGAGGTGCTCATCTGTATACCTTCCCAACAAGTGGTTATCTGGAGTCACTGTTGCCGTCATATCAGCTCGCAGCAGTCTGGCTATTCTCCTCTTACCTCTGATATCAAAGCAACAAGATATTTTCACCCAGAGAACTGCTGCTCACTCGATATTTTGCTCCTTTTCAGGCCATTTTCTGTAAACCCCAGAGAAGGTCGAGTAATACTCAGACCAAGCACCAACAACCATGTGCAAAATCACTTAAAGTCACCGTTCTCATGCTCACTTTGAACATCACTGGGTTGCCTTGACCATGCCTACATGCCTAAATGGATTAGGTTGATGCCATGTGATTGGCTGGTTAGATATTTGCAGTAATAGGTGTCCCTAATAAAGTGGCCAGAGAGTTAATATTGACAATCCTGTCACCTGGGAGACTGAACAATGAACTTTTAAAGGTTTATTTTTCTTATCAGAGTATTATCTAATTATTACAGAATTGGAAAGTAATCTAAATCACTCTGCAGCTCTGTAATAATGAAGCTGTCCTGCATTAGGTCTTCATGAACACATTTAAATTCAGTTTACTTAAAAATACCCAATGCACTGTTTAAGTTACTGTGTTAAGTGTTTTTAGTCCATTTTAATAATTGCATCCTAAGTTTAATAATGAACTGCCTTAAATAATATTCACTCTGCTTTGTGTGATGACTTTTTTTTTAATACAATATGGTTAAGATGGTGCTATGGCGTGCCAAGGTGGTGCTCTGGTTGAAAGCAACAGTCCTAACGTAGGTGTGGATATGAGTTGACAGCTGTTAGCCACACTGATCACAGTATAATAGGATGACTGAGGCAGCTCCTGTGTCTGTGTGTGTAACTGTGGGAGTGTTGAGGTTCTGCCCGTGTATCTGATGAAAGCTGGGCAGATCTCGTAATCACTCAGTCAGCAAAAATTATTTCAGCAGCACTTTAAGTGGCGAGTGCTGGAGCTGTTTTTAACAAATTTTTATAAAAGTATATTCTATAAATTCAATTTTGCACTAAACGATCAACGAAACTCCTTTAAAAACACATTTAATCCGGTGAGAAGAGTTTGGAAAAGATTGTTCACTTCTGTTTATTTCTTCAATATCTGAGAGTACATTTAACCATGTACAGATACCATGTCATGGCAGCTCATCTTACAGATGTTCATCAGACACTTGAGGTACTCTAACAGGTTCCCTGATATGGGTGATGTGAGCGGGCGCTCTTAAACTCTTGCAAGGCACCTCAGATTGCCAACGGCTCTGCCAGACATCATGCAGGTCAGCTTGTCGGCACCAAGGCAAACATGTACTGTGCAAAAGTCCTCAGCAGCAGAAGAAAAAGAAGCTCCAGAGAAAAGTTAAAGCACGTGACTGAGGGAAGCAGTGAAGGGTCGCTACGCATTCCCATTATGAATGATTAGATAACAATAAAAGTATAAATTTTATTAATACACAATAAAAATGTGGCATTTGGCTTGGCATGCCACATAAAAATCATCTCTGACAGCACATGAGAAAGAAATCTCAAAGCACAAAAAGACTACAAAGTGTGTGACAAGGAGGGTTAAGCGCTTTTTTGTTTGCTCTTTCAGAGCTTTACATTTACTAGCTTCACATCAGTGTTTATTCACATGGGGGGGAAAGTGATATCTCTGTCAGTTGATACCCAGAAAAGCAGAACTTTAAAAAAAAAAAAAAAGGCACCAAAAAGAAAAAAAAATAGACAAACCAGGTTCAAAAACTGGGCACTGCAGGTCCATTTATGCACTTTTTGCATTGCTGATGAATTGATTGTGTTGGTGCAGCATGTTCAGCATCAATCATCATTACTGTGACACTCTCTCACTCCACTGTGACTACAAACCCCAAAGCTACATTTCTTTCTGGCGAATAGCGCCCCCTGCTTGTTTTGTGGCTCAAAGCAACCGATCGTTCTCTCCCCAAAGCCTCCGTCAGCCTGAAGGCTACAAGAGGTCTCCTCAGTGCCGGGCAGTACCTGCCCATCGTACTGACATCTGCATATGATCCCTGTAATGATTTATTGATGCTAAAATGCTGAAGTGCCTTTAAGACAGATATCTGTCAAGGTGTGATGAGATTTGGCATAGCTTGCATTCAACAGATTATAAAAATCTAGGAGGCGACGCGGAGGTGGACAAATGGAGGAATGTGAAAGAGGAGAAAAGGGGAGGAAGGACAGGAAGCGAGGAGGGAAGGTTGCTGCGTCAAAAGGCTTTATCAGAGGTTCTGCTGGAGGAAGTGCAGCAGTGTAATCTCATAATGCTCTCCAGACTCTGGACATCTGATGCTGTGTCGCTCGTTGGGGTAAACCTGGAAAAAACAGAAACAACAAACAAGCGTTTCAAAGCTGCCGCTTCTTCAAACGTGCCGGTCTCATCGTTAAACAGTGCGCAGGTTTGAACCCCGCGAGACATCAGTCAGCGGCCATACCTGCAGGCTGTACGGTTTCCCTGCTCGGATGAGTTGAGACACAAGGAAGTTAGTGTGGAAAAAGTGCACGTTCTCGTCTAAGAATCCATGCAGGATCAGCAACCTGTTGGGCCTGTATTAATCACAGAGAGGGCATATAAAACACTGATGTGTTGCACCACTCGGAGAAAACAACACCGAATAGCGAGTCTCTTCCTGTGCTGCTTCATACAGAATTTTATGAATAACTCAAAGTATAATATAGTACTGCCAGAGGTAATAGTGCATTATAGTCTCAGCTGCCTGATGGATGCAGCAACATACAATAACTGAATAATAATGTGTCATAAATGCACTAAAGCAGTAACTGTTTCTCACTCATTGGGAAGCTTGTCGACGTGCAGAGCGACAGAACAAGCTTCGTATCCTCTCTGGTTTTTTTCGGGGGTGTCCAAATATCGCTCCGTGTAGCCGGTGTCATAGGCCATCCACAACGTCACCGGAGCGCCCGCGATAGCAACCTAACCAACAAAGAGATCACACGGGAGACGGCGTCATCATTTCTGCCTTTCACTGAAAGTGAAGTTCCAGGTCTGTTCTCTGACAGAGGCGGCAATCACTCTGCATGAAATGTAATTATAGAAACTGCCTAAAGCACCAGGATTATCAACATCCATACAGCTTTTTTATTTTTGTAACGCTCACATCCTTAGAAAAGATACGGTAAATGTATCTGATGGAACAAATAATTTACTCTTAGGGTTTTAAAGAGTTATTTATCATGTGATGGAGACCTACTTTTCTAATTAAACAACAAAGAGAGAGTTTTACAAATGTGTGTTTACATTTTTTAATGGGTATTTCTGTTTCCTGGAGCAAAGAGGAAAAACTGAACTGACACATCAAACTTCTAGTTTTCGGCTTGTTGGCTGATCTAAATCTGACAGTAAATGTTTTTTCACCTTAAAGATGTCGGGTCTGTGGATGAGGCCCATGAGGGACAGGAAGCCGCCGTACGACCAGCCGTGGATGGCGACACGACTCAGGTCTACAAACTTGTACTTGTCTGCGATGTAGTGCAAACCCTCCACCTGGTCTTCAATCTCCACCTGACCCTGGACAGAGGAGAAAAGATTGAACTTGGCTGCTTTGTTTCTACAGAAGAAAACTAAGAAAAGAGGCTAATGCGTTCCTGAATTTTAGGAAACCTAGGAGAGTTTGGAGGGAGCATCTTCATCTTTAACCCGTACACGTTTGTCTCGAGACATTTACCATTCTGTCCTTCACAGCTCCTTCAAACTTGAGGCCTCGCTGGCAGGAGCCCCGCCCATCGATAACAAGCACAACGTAGCCCAAAGAGGCCAGCGTGCTCAGCCGCAGGTACTTCACCCCTTTATAAGAATTGTTCACTAATTGCACCTGGAAGAAAATAAACTTGTGTTTATGTCACTGTGACATGACAAAATGTGGAACAAATGAAGTGCTGTGAATACTTTCTGGATGCGTTGTGAGCATTTTTGTGGAGTTCCTTTATTAACGTTGAAAAGAAATTAAGGATCAGGTCATATAAATGAAGCGTGCAAACTGATTTACTAGCATCTGCAACAGGCAGTTTATTGCTAACTGCACTCACACACCATTTTGACTCGTTTAGTAAATCTGGCCCTATGAATGGGGTGGGAGTTGGAGGGCGAACCTGAGGACCACCATAGACAAAGACGACGGTGGGGTGCTTCCTCCCGGGGACTAGCTTCTCCGGTTTGTACAGCATGCCGTAGAGCTCGAAACCAGACTTGCCCGTGAAGCTAAAGATCTCTGGAGGTGTGCCGTCAAGTGGGAAAGCTGGAGACGACAAAAAAACCCCAAAACAAAATCTTTAAGTTGTTGTCCATCTTTAATGAGCAGAACAGGAAAACTAAACAAACAGGGAGGCAAGGGTGTCAAACCATCTGATAAAAGTGTAAAAATCTGTTTGATTTTAAGGGGAATTCAGTACCAGAAGATTCCATCATGCTCGCCCAAAACTGGGGCTCTTTGTGCAGAGGGTCGCTGTCTGAGCCATTCAGCTTGTAAATGTGGACACACGGTGCAGTGGTCAGGCTGCTGTAATGGCTGATAAACATGTCAAAGGTCTGTGTGAAAGAAAACAGATGAGGCAGAGTTAGAAAGCATCGCCAAGGTGTACACAAACACTTCAAACACATATCTGAATGTGAAGTTTACTGCATTGGGTCATGCTCTCTCATGTGCATTAAACTATTGAATACTGTTAAAGCCTCGCTCACTTAAGAGAGCTATTCAAATGATAAAACAGGAAAAAGCAGGCAATACATAATTTGTGAAAATTTCTACAGGAAACAGCAAAAAAGGAACGATCAGACAGTAACTGCTTGTACTCTTAGATTTTAAAAAAGTAAAATCAGTTGACAGGTGTAGAAAGGTCAGAGGAGATTTGGCGAAGAACACGAGTGTGTATTCAGGTACCTGGCTCACAGAGCAGCTGTGGGAGAAGCCAGGTTTGGTGAGTCGGACGATTTCACCCGGCGAGTCGTAGCTCACCACGTAGAGGTGATGCTCCAGAGGAGAGTCTTTGGTTCCCTGAAAGTAAACCAGCTTGGCTGCCTCATCCACCCAAATCTGAGGGCTGGATGAACGCTGCACAAACAAGAAAAAACACTGTTGGAACATTTTGTTTACACACAAACAAAAAGACAGCTGAGCTATGACACCAAACAGTAAGTAAGTATCTCCTTTATTAGGTTGTTCTAATCTGCATGAGAGTCTGTGTGTTATTAGTCTTTTTTAAGCAAAATGTAGAAATATTATTCTCATATTCAGATACATGCTGATGCAACAGTACAAGAGAGGTGAGGAAGAGAGCACAGGCAGGGTGGAGCAAGCCCGAGTGTCGAGGTGACAGAAGGGAGAGCAAGAGTGAAAGGGAAGGTTTACGAGGTTTGGAGACGGTGCTGCTGACAAGACGACAAGAGGATTTGTGTTCGGAGTGACCAGGATGGACAAGATTAGAAATGAGTAAATCGGCTGAGCTCGATCAGGGGGGTGATTTTGGAGACAAGTATGAGAGGCGAGGCTGGGATGGCTTTGTATGTGTGCAGAGAGAGTGGATCAATTAGACAGAAGATGCTGAATATGGAGCTGCCAGGCTGGAGGAAAAGAGGAAGAACAGACAGACAGAGGTTTGGTGTATCATTGGTGCGATGGAGGAGAATGCTAGGGATAGGATGAGATGGAGGAAGATGATCCACTCTGGCTACCCCGAAACAGAGCAGAGAGCAGCAGCAGTAGAAGAAGATGCGACATAACAGTTACAGGAGCAAAAAAACATAAAGACGACCAACTCTGCTCACAGCGCTTAATTAACCGACTACTTATGTGCTTACATGTGACATATGCTGTGTCACTACTGTTACATTAATGCTGCTGGTACCTTGTTTCAAATTAGGCTGTGTGTCGTCAATGACAGCAGCTCATTGTAAAAGAAGGAAAATGCCCTTCATTTACTTGCAGTTATAAAACCTTCAGTATTTTTATTCTTATATCATTGATTATATATCACATTAATATATAATAGTGACACTACATTGCCTACCTCTACTCTATGTACTCAGCAGAAGTTATTTTGTATAAAACTATAGTTGTAAGTGGCTGCTGTGAATGTGGGAACCCATGTACAGGGCTTTACCTTTGCGCCATGATTGGCCAGCACCTCCCACTCCCCGCTGGTCACCATCACCTCCTCTTTGACTGGACACTTGAAATCATCTGATGACAGAGGAGCAAATGTGTCACATAGGTCGTGTGAGTGGCATGGTAAGAACAGCACAGTAAAACTATGTTACAAACCCAGAAACATCCCAGGAATACAGAATTGTTCATAAAATAAATAAATCTCACTTAAAACCATGTCAAAGATGTTCTGCATGAACAGTACAGATGAGTTAGTGTGTGTCTGCACGTGGTGCTACCTTCAGAGTGCGTGTAGCCTTTGGCCCAGTGATGGCTGCCCCGCTGCAACACTGAGGTGATCTTATACAGGTGGCAGAAGCCAGTTTTGGACTCGTTTACTGTGATGAAAGTGATCTCGTCCTCAGTGGTTTGGATGAAAGGATGGAAGATGTCATGGACCTGTGTAGGAAAGGCAAACAAAATGTTTTTGATCCAAGTCCAGAGTAGGATTATATTGTATATTGTAAACTTCACAGCAAACATCTGCCTCTGTGCCACTCGGGCTGATTGAAACATGAGGGGAAACTAATCTGAGAAACAACCAGGCTCGATAAAGACGTGCTGCTGGTGCTCACATTGATCCAGATGTCGCTGGTCTCTTGGTAAACGATGAAAGGGTGGACCGAGTCTCCGAGGGCCTCCAGGCTCTCCTGTCTTTTGGCTTCGTCCTGATGCGCTGGGATGAAGAGTTCAGGAGGCAGCAGGACCAGCTGGAGATTCTGCTGCCGTCGGTCCATCATCACCGCCCACGCGCTGACACACAAACACAGGAGAGCTGTGATGCAACGAGAACATGTGCCCTCTACTGACAAGTTTACTTCTGGGCTTCCTGTTTTTAACTATTTATTATTTTCTGGCTTACAATCGCCCGTCTTTAGTCCATCCGGCTCTGGTAATGTACTCTGCACGTGGGAACAGGCTGGTGAAGGGAACAGGTAGCTCCTTTTCCTGTGTGCTGACAATCTGAAGAGAGAAAAACACCAATAAGACCAGCTCACATCAGTGCTGCGTTCACTGTGGGGGGGAAACCCACTGAACTCTGAATGAGCACTTACTCTGCCTTGACTGTCTGTTCGTATTTCTGCTATTTTGAGGGTGATATCAGGATTTTTGCTGCCTGAAAAAGAAAGTAAGCTGATTTATGTACCAAAATATAAGCAAACATTTTACAGGAGCACATGTATAAACACAGGCTACACCCAGCATTAGGAGTTAAGCCATGTAGAAGTATATGTAGAACTTTTGTGTAGCTTTCTGCTGATTTGATACCTGCGTGTGGGTATCTGTACACATCTGTCTTGCGCTCTTCCAGAGCCGGAGACGGGACGTGGATGATCTCTACCTCAGACTCATCCACCTCCTCGTAGAGAATCTGTAGAGTTTTCCCGCCGTCTGCCTCTAAACCAATGAGAACAGCCAGAAAAGTAAGCAGCTGTGAGGATTATTTAAAGGTCTTTGGAAGAAACCAAACATGAAAGCTTGTAGAAATAATTTCATGACGAAGCGACCGGGCTCACAAAAACTGTATTAATAAATATTGTGAGTCATTTTCTAATGAATGATAACTACAAAAGCAATGTACTCACCTTCTTGAGCAGCCGGACACCACCAGTATCCAGTGAAGCGATCAAACTCTTCCTGGGTGACAAAAGTGGCTACGCCGGCAGATTTAGGATCCTCTTTGGGGTTATCGATACCTACAATAAAAACACCCGAGAGACAAAACACGAGAGTGAGCTTACATTAGGCAACCTGTGCCATCCCTACCAGGGTTTGACCTCCAATTTAAGTTTACGGTGCTGTGGCTGACTTGAACAGCCGCTGTTATGCTTCTGTAAATATCTGGTGCCATCACTGGCTTCATGCACCACAACTAACAACGACTTATTTAATAACTAATATAAACGACTGTCTCACAGTCCCAAACATACCATAAACAAAGAAAGAGAGAAAAGGATGAATTAAAGATGCTTTTGAGTCTATTTAGTTGGTTTAAGGGAACCAGTTCAACTACAAGAAAGGAAAAAGTTGAAGGGAACTTGATAAATGTCACAGTCGCAGTTCACACCTTTGTGGCAGAAGGTGAGTCTCTTCTCTTCCCCCGTCTCAATACTAGTCACCCAAATGTCATTGTTGTTGATGAACCCGATGAAGCTGGGGTCACCGGGGCAGATCTTGGGGTCCATACGTGTGCCTGAATTCTGGCTCGTAATCTCTGTGGGATTCATCGGAGAAGTCTGGGGAAGAAAAAGAAAACATTAATTATAAGATGCAGAGCCGCCTCTTCTTCCTGTGGCAGCTGAGGTCATTTGGTGTGTGTGTGAGGAGATGCTGCATATATTTTAATCACACTGTGGTGGCCAGTGCTTTCTTTTATGCTGCTGTGTGTCGGGGGTAAAGCTGCAGGTTGGATTTAAGACTGTGGTGGAGAAGGGCACATTTCAACTTGTCCCCACTGGAATAGGACTTTTTTCCTGTTTATATTGTATTTTTATCACTATTACTAACATTATTTAATTAGATGATTTTGTATTTTTGGCCAGAGGGATGTTTTTTGTTTTTTTTAAATAAAGATGCTGGATATTTGAATTTCTGCTTGGGGAAAAGTAAAGTATCGATCTGTCTATTATCATGGATTTATTTGATCCCTGCTGATGCTTTGCAGGGTTGAGGGGGATGGAGAAAACTTCAAGATACATGGAGTGAAGGGAGACTTCAACTTTTTATATTTAGTGATGCACAAAAATCAGATGTCTTTCCCAACTAGCCTCATCGGGTCTGTAATTTTCAGCCTGTGCTCTGCAGCAGGGAGAGTCTTACTTAACTGGCCTTTAACTCACAATGAAGCTGCTGTTCCCACCATCACGGCAGTAGTACAGGCTGCTGTTGGCCTGGAACAGGAAGAGGCCGCTGGGTCGGTGGTAGTCATAGGAGGTGATGCCAGACACCCCCAAACGCTTCCTCTCTCGCAGCAGCTCTTCTTCCCGAGAGAAGCCTCCGTGGTGAGGGCTGGCCTGAGGTCAGGAGTGACAAGAGAACGCACAACGTGACAGTGACCAAAGTCAAGGTCAAAGACAGTTCGTTCACGCCGTGGAAAAACAAAAACATACAAACAAAACATGACCAAATTTCTAAATTACAGAGAGCATCTCTGCGGACCAGGAAATAAAAGCTGTTCTCTCGCTTCAGCAGGAGCACGCCTTGTTTGTGAAATCAGCGCAGACCAGCTGGATAGCAATTAACATCAATCATGTGGTCTCATGTGACCTGAGTGTTCGAGTTAATTTGTCTTCAGGAGAAGATTTACAACAGCAGTTTTAAGCTCCATAAGGAGAAGTGCAATTATTTAGGAAATGGCTCACAATAAACCTCTAAATAATTAAATAGTCCTAAAGGGGAAATATCAAACACATTTCCAGGTCTATAGTTTTATTCAGGGGAAATTAAAAACACATCAAATTAATATTTCACAGGTCCTTTACACAGCCTCTCAGACCAGACGCCGTCTGATAAAGAGTCCGTTTCATCCAGCATTCCCTCAGCTGACAACAGCAACATACAGCTGTAGTCAGACTCATTCATTATATTATGACCGTTTTTTAATCAAATGTAAATTCCGCTGCACATTCCCTCAGTTGTATCTGGCCCTGTGACACCAGTGACCATCCCTCTGCTTTCTGGCTGTACTTGCTGCTAACTGAGAAGGTGCACGGTCAAACCCAGCGGATCAGTGGATTCACCTGGTTGGTGCTTGACTTGAAGCTTCCATGCATTCACACTGTAAAGTTTTATGCAAGTTAATGGTGTTTATGAGGTCAGACAGTCTTTGCTCTCAACTTTTAAGAAATATTTTTATATAAATTCACCTGTAATTCTTAAACGTTTTACCAAGTACAAACTTTAAAATCATCACTGAAAATAAAAGGCAAAAAAATCAGTAAGTCCCTTTAACCTCCTGCGACCCTGCATCCTCATTTGGGGACATTACCTTTTGGCTCTTTTGCACCTTCTACTTCATTCTGCTCAACAGTGTTTTATATTTTGTTAAAGAATGCCAATGTTATTAAATAAATGCACTGTTCAAATGACGGTGCACAAAAACACGTCTGAAACGAATGTCAAGACAGCAAGATGAGGACTAAAAATCTTCCTCACCTGAAAGTGATCCAGCATTGGTTTCCAAGACAAAACCAACAGGGCATCTTTGCGGATCTTCTTGGGAATGTCTGAGTAGAGTAACGCATTTTCCCTGCTGGCGTAAGGCATTCCTGTCAGGAAACATACCACAGAAGGCATCAGACGAAGCAAGGCGAGCTGGTCTTTTTGTAGGCGCGCTCTGGTTCGACCGGCATTCGCAGCAGTAGTGTTGGCTTACACAAGCTTCTTACTGAGGAACATACCGCACAGAGTGCCAAGATGAGCAGGCAACCCTTGGGCCATAGGGCTAATGCAAAGGCCCAGGTTCAATTCCGCCCTGAGGCAATTCACAGCACGTCTTCCCCTGTGCCTGCAGTAAGGTCTTAAACAGAGACAGGTTTAAGACTGAATTCAATTCAGTTTTATTTATATAGCACCAAATCACAACAACAGTCACCTTAAAGTGTTTTATATTGTAAGGTAAAGACCCTACAACAATACAGAGAACACCCCAACAATCAGATGACCCCTTTAAGCAAGCACTTGGTGACAGTGGGGAGGAAAAACACCCACAGTGAAGGCTAAGGGAGGGTCCGCCATCTGCTGCGACCAGTTGGAGGTGAGGGGAGGGAGACAGGATAATAATAACAAGACAAGACCCTTACTGTCTTGTCTTACATGATCACTCTTCAAAAAGGTTTGTCCATGTAAGTGCACAGTTTGCTTTTTGTGTGCAGCTGTCTTGTGGCTGCATAAAAAAAAGAAAAATGGCAGCTGATGTTTGCCATCACAGATGTTTGCCATCACAGATGTTTGACAAAGACAACACATTTGTGTGCTATAAAATGTTCTAATAATCCAACTATGCAGTTCACAGAAAGGAAAGAATAAAACATGGGTAAGAAGCTATTTTAAAAGCATGAGGTAGGTGTTTTTGGTTTGTTTTTTGCGCGGCTAGCTATATTTGAGACTGAACAACAAATCTATTAAATCAGTTTGGGAAGGCTCTACAGCAAAACTATGTAACTTCAGCTAAATGACAGTCAGGGGAGGCAAACAGCAATTAAAGGATGATGGCCAATGCAGCATAAATACACCACGAAGATAAAAAACAGGCATGAGATCAACATGTACCACACACTTCTGGTCACAGTGAAGGTCTAAATATAAAAAGAGCATTCAGACCAGGCGGTAACTGTTAAGGTCTGACTGGTTATAACGGACAAAATAACCAAACCATCAGCTATGGTTAGCAGTTATAGCTGACTAAATTAGTCAACATTACACAGCTTACTATAGCCAGGTATCAAAATGTAAAACTCAGAGCAACAAAAACTAGCAGCCATTTTACAAGAATCCTGTGTGCTACAGCTGCAAGACGAGGGGGGGAAAAAAGCAGAAATATGTCCACAATGCAAAATGTTGTTCCACATTTTTTTCCAGCACACACTAAAGCCAGTGCAGCTCTGTGGAAATCAAATGAGCTCGAAAACAGGTGCAGGCTGGCAGCTCTGACTCACCAGCTGCATCCACAGATTTTTCACAGACGTGTGCTACCTTTCAAAGAGACTGAACGGAAGCCACTGAATCTGCAAGCCAACAAGTCACGGCCGCTAAAAAATGCCTCTGTGAGCTCGGGCTTCTTACAGCGCTAGTGGAAAATGACATGTTATTTCAGCCATTCATGTGTCAGACCTCAGGTTTCAGTTACCGCCGCTCACCAAGGTAGTAGATGCGGTGAGAGTGCGGGCTGCTCTCGTCTTTCTGGATGAACTGGAAGTCGTGCGGTGCCTTGTTGATAACCACGCCGGTGTTTTTGCGGCTGTTGTGGATGATCTTCCGCAGGCCGTCCCACGTATGTTTCTCCACCTGGAACTGGGTGGAACTCACGTCCTCCATCTCCACCACCTCTGTGCTGTCTGAGAGCTCGTCCACCCCGGTCATGCCTGCCAGTGCTGCTCTCACACTGTCGACAGACATTTATAACGATTAGCGTGATCTGCCTACGCTCAGCCCACAAATAAAACAAAACCATTAGGCTCCTAAATATATGAAACACTCTAAACCACAGATGTGAAATTCACCTTACATCATGGGCCCTACACAGACCCCTTTGATTGTAAGTGGGCCAGATCACTAAAACTCCCCTTTCTAAAGATATTAAACTAAGCATTTAATCCCTGAATAATCTTAATGTAAGAAAAATAAATGTAATTTCTACGGGCCCGTTCTTTAAACGACCATAACTCTGCTACCGCTTGTACTAGAGACAAAATTCAGGAGAAGCAGAGAGTATCGGGGTTATTTGGGAAATCATGGTGGAGTAAAACATTCACAAGGCACTGCTGCCTGAACACAGACAGAAAATTTGGCTCCTCCTAGATTTTATCATGTATGCTTCCCAACTTCTCCTGAATGATTTGAATAATTTTGTAATTTTACAGCCCAAATTACATAAGTCCAAGCAGCCTGTGTGATACTTGGGTGATAATGATTACATGAATGAAAATCCTAATCAGCTGCAAAACCTACAGTAAAGTTAAACAACTACGGACTGCTTCAAGTCTTCCAAAGCTAACCAGGGGGCTGGACTGGATCGCTTTGCCAGGCCGATTTTAGCCCCCAGGCCTTATGTTTGACACCCATGGTTTAAGCAGTTGAAATAAATCCTCTAAGAGATCTTTTAAAGTCAACAAATGCTGCTATTAATTGGCATGAAATTCAGCACCGATGTTAAAGACTTTGGTGTTTACTGGTCCATTTACCCCACCAGCAGGTCAGTATTTTAGCTTGTGAGATAATTCAGTCTGTGATCAAATATCTACAAAGCTAATTAAATTAGTCAGAAAATACTTCTATTCTAATGATGAACATGTTAATCTTAATACTAGCTTTAAGCTTTTCTAAACTTTTTGTTCATTAAACCTGTGAAAATGGTTACAAAATGATTTGACTGAGCTGAAAATTCAAACCAAATGACAGTCAGATAGCTTCACCTACCTTACCTCGCCGTCTTCTGTTTTGTCTTCAATTTTCGGCCTCTTTACTCTGTGCATTAACTGTTCAACCAGACTGAACCAGACCTGACACCCTGTAAAACACCAGGCAACCGAATAAAAACTGGGAAACTTTCTTTCCAGATCACAGAAATTCAACAGCATGGCGACAGCTCGTCTAACTCGGTCTAATAACAGAAGCAAACAGAAACGACAGCAATCCATAAGCTAAGCTAAGCTAAGCTCACAGGCTATGAACAGTGAAACTGTTACTGGGGTTGAGGCCCCGCTCTTCTCCCACATCTCTGCACTTCTTCATGGAGAAGCTGCTGTTCTTCAGCTTGCCATATTCCAGCTGAGCATTTCTCATGTGAAGCCTCACCGAGTGTGACTCAGCTGCATGACTCGAACACTACAGCGTCTGTGTCATAAGTGTGGCAAATTTCACACTGCAACTCCGCATTTTACTGCAGCACTGTAGGCTGTTCTGCTGCCTGTATCCTTAACATAGTGTACAGCACACACGGCAGTATTTTTCCAGAAGTTAGCCAACTTCAGGGATTTTGCCACACTGGGAATAGTAAGAATGATATACAGTCACTGGACACCTTTTCAGGTACACCTGTTAAACTGCTTGTTGACACTAATCAGCCAATAACATGGCAGCAACTCAGACCATCAGAATGTGGAAGAAAGGGGATTTAAGTGACTCTGAACATAGCATGGTTACTGGTGTCAAACAGGCTGGTGTGACGATTTCAGATATTGGTGATCTACTGGGATTTTCCTCCTGTGTGGAAAATCCCACACAACCTCAACTGGGGGTTACCAGAGAATGATCTAAAAAAAAAAAAGAGAGAGAAGATATCCAGTGAGCAGCAATTCTCTGTGTCAGAGGTCAGAGGAGAAGGACCAGACTGTTTCATAAACGAAGGCAACGGGAACTCAACATTGCACAACATAATATTGGAAAAACATTGCCTGGTCCGATGATTCTTGACTGTGGAAGAAAGCATCGATCCTTCATGCCTTGTAGCAATGCCTCTTGCTGGTGGTAGCCTAATGGTGTGGCAGATTTTTCCTTGGCACATTTAGGGCCAATTTGGTACTATTTGACCATTGTTTAAACACCACAGCCTACCTCAGTGCTGTCGCTGAGCATGTCCATCAGTGTACCTGCTCTACCAGGATAACGCACTGTGTCACAAACTTCTAATTATCTCATATTGGTTTCTTGAGCATGAGTTCACTGTACTCAAATGGCCTCCACAGTCACAGATCTCCAATAGAGTGCTTTTGGGATGTGGTGAAAGACTTGCATCATGGATGAGCAGCTGACAATTTCAGTCATGTCAATATGGACCAATAATATCTGAGAAGTATTTCCAACACCTTGTTGAGTCTATACCATAAAGATTTTAGGTAGTCTTGAAGGCAAAAGGGAGTCCAACTAGCCCGGTGTACCTAAATAAATGTCCAGTGAGAGTATACAAGTCAAGAAAAAATAACATAGCTTGATGATGTAAACATGTATTACATATGGTTAAAAAAAACCCAAAAAACCTTAGTGCCTGATAAATGGAGACAATGAGGTGCTTAAAATACCAATTACACGTTTACAGTCCTCAGGCTAAAATGTTACTGAATATTCCCCAACACCTGTCAGGGCATCAAGAAAGTGTTGTGTCACTGTATTTAACTTCTACTGACTGCTAGCTTAAATGTAGATTAGACTCATTTGACTCCACAAAAGACACCGTGAGAACCTCGCGTTTCATTTTTGACATCCGTGTCCTCTACATCTGTACATTTTTATGTTTCACTGACACCATAAAAACGCAGATTCGCGTTAGAAACAGCGACTCAGTTTCACTATTTCTGCCCAGGCTGACACTTATGCTACTAAACTTAAAAGGTCTAAGCTAATAACAGGCTAACAGAAAACTTCTGGCAGAGTGTGTCCTAAGCGCCAAACTTTGCAAAGCCTAACCATCCAATAATTATATGCATATATATTATATCCAATAACAAAACTCACTGTGGCTGTGATGCGCTGCTGGGAGCTAACATGTTAGCCACCCATTAAACAGAACAGAAACGAGCAAGCTAGCTATTGGGTAAACCAGAAGAGCACAAAACAGAAAACGTAAGAAACAAAGCAAAACAAAATGTAACCACTCGCTTCCATCTTACACTTTCTGCCCGGAGACCTTGAAGCTGTATCTCCTTTTGTCGAATAGACGTCTGTGTTGAAAAGTCGTGATTAATTAGAGTTAACTACTTTTCAGACACCAGGTAGCTTGATGCTAAAACGATAGCAACGCGGAAATAGACCGTGAATCAAACCCGAGCAACGTTAGAAAATTACTACCTTTAACCCGGATATACTCGATCCGTTTGTTTTTCGTGTCTTTCAGCGTGTATTTTTCCTTTTTTACTGGGCAATATTTGAACCTGCTATTTTAATTTCGAAGAACCCAAAATGATTTGCTTCCTTGTCAATGTGACAATAGCCAAATGTGACCCCTTCATTTAAAAACAAACAATCAAAAGATACTTACATCAGTCCTTTTTCAATTGTTTTACCCCCCCCCCCTCCTCCTTTTTTTAAAAAAACAAAACAAAAGACCAGATAGAAACACAACTGAGATCAGCGAGAATGATTTTATCGTTAAAACGTTTATTTTTGTAATAATTTTTCATCTTTACTTTTTGCATAAGTGCAAAAATGCACCCAAAACAGCCACCTGAGGGAAGTCTACATCTTTAAATAAAAAAACAAGCAAAGTGTACATTTATAGTACAAAATTTTTTTTCCTTTTTAAAAAATTGCACAGTTTGTGTATAATATATATATTCATAATCTCCATTTTAAACAAACTTTAAAGGCTCAGAAAGTAAACAAAATTCACCAAATGAAAAATAAAAACATTTTCCCTATAATTTAAAGCTGAGGAAACTTGAGACCCTGTTTTCATTTGTGTCCACCATAAATATACATATTCATAGGCAAGTCTCTTTACATATAGTCTCTGTGCTAGTGTTTGACCAGACAAAATTATTGCAAAGTAGTTTATTTCTACTATAAAACATGGGTTGGGGGTGGGGAATAAAAGCTTCTTTCTGCTGAATGTTTTTTTTAATTTATGCAAAACGAAAAAATAAAATAAAATAATTTTAAAAAAAGACAAAAAATACCCTTTTAAATTTACTGGAATCCCTGTTTCACAAACTGTGTGCATTCAACATTCCTAAAGAACATCCAGAACTCCAGTTTTGCCTTTTAGCAAGAACACAGATTTCCCTGACTTCTTATTTTTTGTTTATTTTTGAACTTTACACAGCGGTCCTGCCTGGGAAGGGGTGATGGTGGTGGTGGTCAGCGTCGATACGGGTGGAAGCCCTGTACGTTGTGGTTCTGCCCTCTGCCGAATGCGCTGGCGGCAGGCTGGGGAGCAGCGGCGGGCTGTGCTGTCGGTGCACCATACGAGGCTGTCGGCTGGCTGGGGTCTGCGAAGCTGTGGCCGAAGGCTGTCAGGTCCTGACCGTACCCTGAGGTGAACAACACACAGGACAGGTGCAGACAGGACAGAGGGGGTGACGTTAATGTCAGGTTCACCGGACGGTGTTTCGATAGAAGGCTAATGCCTTAAATCCTTTTACTGAATAAATTTAATGTAAAATATTCACAGTTTGTACTTTAAGGAAAAATCCAAC